GTGTGTGTGTGTGTGTGTGTGTGTGTGTGTGTTCCTCCTCCTCTTTCTCTCTCGCTGGCTAGCTTGTCTAGAAATCAAAGAAGCGGAATCTGAAACAAAAATCAAACAATATAGCCGTGCAGCGTTCACAAAAGGTCACCCCTCTTTGATTCCATTAGCTCCGCCGTACCTCTCATTGCGCTCTAATTTAATTAGAAACTCGACGACATTCCCAGCCGTAATGGCTTCACCAGAGACAAATCTTTCTTTTTTTCCAAGGGGGGGGGGTGGCAGCTTGAATTTTCTAAAACCAGATAAATAAGGAACGTTGCTAGTTGAATCAGTGTTGCTTACAATGACTTTAGTATAATTTAGACTTTAGATTTTTCCGAAAACCAACTTGACAGACAGATAAAACAAGAATGTTTGTTTAAAATATCAGTTGAGAAGCAAGTCAGAAAAATATAACAATTAGTAATAAGCATCCTTGATAACAACAACAAAAAGTGGGTGGTTGGAGGGTTCCACATTTAGGTTCTAATTCTTTACCATTTCCCTATTAAATCTGTTTGTGTGATCCTCTTTTCTCAGTTGTGTTGAAAAATAACTCTTTCTTTTTTAACTTTTTCTTTACTCACACTAAACTCTGGTTACGAAGGGCAGTCCAGGACAGTTTATAACCAGTCGGGGAAGCGCTCCTCAACTCTTAAGAAATTCCACACGAGATTATAAGAAAGAGATTCTGTGGTTGGATATCGATTGTAAGCCCCGTTCAATCTGGTTGCGTTGTTCAAAAGCCTTCCATTTGGCGTCCTTCTCCGATGGATCACCGGTGCCTGATGGTGTAGCGGTTAGAACTTTCCCAGTAGCACAGAGCAGAAAACCTCAGTTCAATTCCCATGTAACGCGTATCGCTTTCTTTTTGCTGGAACATTATATCTCTCTCGAACCGCTTTGGCCCAGACAGACAGGTAATATAGCCCGCCTACTAAATGAGTTATAATCTGTCAATGGGAACGTCCGTACATCGTGTTTTACTATTGTATCCATACGACGTGGGAACGCTGTGCAACCACTTTCCAAAGTGGAAATTTACTCGTTAATCCGATCCGTGTACTTTGCATAGGAGTCTGACAAAATGATTTTCCGAGAAATACTGAAAGTTTCAAAGGATCTTCGCACTAGAAGTATTCTAAAATGTGAAGAATACAACCCCGGGGTACAAAATGACCCTAGAGCGTACGGATAGGGTTGAAAGATTATTTCCGATTGACCTGGTTAATATGAGATGAGAACGCCTGAGTTTAGGTGGCCGTTGACCTTTGCCTGAAAAGTTCGATTCCTGAGTTTGTTTGTTTTTTAAATCAAGTATCTGCGTCAGTCTACTTGTATGTTGTATGTAACTCAGCCCGAAGCACTCCAGCACGCACGCACGCACGCACGCACGCACGCTTGCACACA